CATATAAATATCAGCTGTGATAATTAAAAATAATAAATTATTTCGATCATAGAATTTCAGTGCTTCAGAGATTAGAAGCAATTAATTTTCTAGACAGCTCCCAAGATAATATTGTTCACAGTATTTCATGCACAATATATATCCGCCACTGTCAGGGCACACTGCGAGGCAAACTGGTCCTCCAACTGGAATGACGTTGAGAATTCCAGTTTCGGAACTTGGCTTGCTTGGCAAGAATAAACAGTCTGCAAAAGTTGTAACCAGGATCACGGCCGGACATTGCTGGAACAAGGAGCGAGACAAGGTAACAGGAAATTCGGTAATTGCCTGCAGTCTTGTAGATCACATCCGCACATTCTTGTACTCGTGACTTAGTGACGTAATTATTATCAACCATGGGCACAGAATTTTACACCAGCAATCAGCAGCTTTCAATCTAATTGCATGTTCTTTTCTATATTTATTTGGAAATGTTACTCCTACTGCTCGATACAACAAGTAGGTCTGAGAAGGTCTACTCGTCTACTTTCCTTTGATAGGAAACGGTCGCTTAGAAAAGGACGCCGCCACCAGTTCTATGCCACGGGAATCCTCTACTACGTAGAGCCAGAAATAAACAGAGCTCTTGTCATAAACGTTGGCATCATTACTAGAAAATCTTATTCGCTACTATAATTCTTCCACAGTCTATTAATCAGAGGTTGAAGAAGAAAGGTTTGGATCCGTAACTTTTTTTAAAATTATTCTTTGATTATTATTATAAATATAAATATTGAGAGAAAATTTAGACACAGTGGCAATAATATAAGTTTCGCGACCGTGCAGAATTCTGGAGTACGAGGCAACAGAACAAAGGGTAGTGTTCCGAACAGGCTAAAAATTGTTCTGCTGCTGTTTTATAAAATATTAGGCTCAAGTTTTGGTACCCATATGAGAGACGAGAAGTGTGTACAGAAGCCATTTCAGGAAACTCTAATATAAGAGACGACTTGGGAGACCTGGATATAAAGGGTAGGATATTATTAATATGGATCTTCAACAAATGAAACATAAGGTGTGTTGACCGAATTTATTCTAGGGACCAACAATAGGAACTTGTCAGTACGGTAGTGACCTTCCAGCTTTTATAGAAGTGTTTTAATTTCTTGACCAGTTGATCGACTATAAGTTTATCAACGAGGGCTGTGCTCCGTGGACATTATAGCATAACATTTTCTGTAATTAGTTTCCTGGCCGTGTGCAATGGGTGCCCATCCTCAGGCTTCGGATTTTGACCCAGTTCGTAACAGTTTAACAGATGCTTGTACAACTGCTTGGTGTACGCCAAAGGCAGAAGTCCCACCCACATAGACACAATCCTTCAGGCAACCTCACACCGCATATTTTTTTTTATGAGATGGGTCATTACCACGTCAATGAATAACGCAGGAGTCAAACCAGGCCGCTGAACATGCCAAGTGCATTCTCCGAAGAAGAAAATGGATATTCCATCCAGAGCATAAACAGAACAACCAAGGCCACTTGCGCCAACAAAGCAACAAGACAGTCCACACAACATACATACATTTCACCCAAGGCAGCGGTGACCGAATCTTCAGGCTACTAGTGAAAGAAGGCATTCAAAAGTTCAGAAATCATTCAAGAAAATGGCGTCAGGCTTCAGGTCCCTCAAGGGGAAGCAACGAAGGCTAAACAATTCGGAGTATAGAAGATACGAATCTGCGAAAAGGATCGTGCATATTCGTCAGAGCTTCTGAACAGATGAGCGATATCAGACTGGAGAGTTAGAGGGCAGAAATAGCTTAACACTCCACAGAGAAACCACTGAATTTGTTTCGGCACAACAGAGGCCATAGCCAACGTTCAGACCTGCCATCAGGCAAGCTTTCGAAATAACACAATGCCCGCCAACTTTGACCACAAAGAAAGGTACAGATTAAGTAAATCCTGGCTTCAACACTTCCCTTCAAATCCACCGCTGAGCAACCTTCATCAAACAAACACTGAAATCTTCTTCCTATCCACTTTGGGGGGGGGGGAGAGAATAAAAAGACTTTTCATCACATGTTGTTCTGAACACAGTGTCGATGAAACGTATTTCTTCGTCTCTTTCTTTTAACCATGTCATGATTGAAACATTTGTCGTCGCCTCTTCTCAAGCTCACCTGAACTCCAAACAACTTTTCATCACCTCTTTTCATTAACCAACTTACGGTCTGTATTGGTTATCCTGTCTTTATTTCACAACCCTTCACCTCCGAAACATTGCCTAATGAAAGAACGATATAAGAATTGCTAAAAGCCTCAAATAATTCACTTGAGGATGGCAACTGAAATTTTTGCCGAAACGCTGGAAAACCTCGGTCATTCTAAACAACATATATCCGCAAACCGATGCCGCACAATATGCTTCAGCCACTCGAAACGTGAGAAGTAGGAAAAAGCATATAATTTATAAGAAAAATGGAGTTTTCCGTTGACTTTTCAACGCGAATTACATCAAAGTATTTGGATAAGAATGTTTTATAGATTTATTTAAAGGCGAATTTTCAATTTCCTGCTCTACATTGCTTCGAATAAACATTATTAGGAAGAAGATTACAATAAACCGAAGCGACATTCATCCGGAAACTGATGAGAATTGACAAGTAAATGCTCTTGTAGGAGAGTGGAACCCTGTGCGAGCCGAATCAGCCAGGAAAGAAGCAATGTCTTTTGAAATGTGTAAATGCTATAGAATTAATATCGTAACCAACCAGGTAGACCAATAGTAACAACGTTATAATCTAAGAGTCAATGTTACTCAATTCCTAGGTTATTTAACGATTATTTCAAATGCAGAATTTGCCTAGCATGGAATTACAACTGAGAATGATCATGCATGTTTATAGCTGAGTACCTGGAAGGAGGTGAAGGGCCGGGATAGCTCAGTCTGTATAGAGACTGGCTACGGGCTGGACTACCGAGGAATCGGAGTTCGAGTACAGGTAGAATCAAGAGATTTCTCTTCTCCACGATGTTCAGACCGGCTCTGGAGTACACCCAACCTCCTATCTAATGAAGGTTAAAGCGGCAGAGGCGTGAAGCTGACTACTCACCTACGGCTAGTGCTGATATCAAGAAAATATGGATCTATACATCCACTCCCGCATACGCCTTCATGAAGTAGTACTTACTTAGTTAAGCACAGAGAGAACATTACTTACTTTTACTTTTATATGGAAGGAGGCGTTTGAGAGCTCTTTGAGAATGCTAGTGCAACATTCTCCCTGAGACATTGACAAAAATTACGAGGAAACTGAGTATTTACAAATTTTAACCCTGCCGACATTCGAACTTCTTTCTTCCCTAATGTAAGTCTAATGTGTTAACATCACACACACACACACACACACACACATATATATATATATATATATATACGTTGTATAATTCGAAATTCTTTCTTCCCGAATGTAAGTCTAATGTGTTAACATCTCACACACACACACACACACACACACATATATATATATGTTGTATATATATCTGCTCGGTAAGGGTCGTTATTCAACTGGTATGATGCCATAATCGTGACCATCGCCACAAAATCCCACCGTTGTATCCCATTTACATCATTTTAATTCAGGTTACGTCACCCTAACCTATATCCCTAAGGTACATTTGAATAATTTTTGCAAGATTTCATTTCGTAACTGATCTCATTGCGCAGAATACACCAACACCAATTTGCATAAATGTCTTATTCCCTCCTGACTCCATGGAAGAGAGCTTTTGTTGAGAAACTAAAGAAATTCTCCTCATTTAACGAAAACTGAGGATTCATTACCATGTTCACAAAAGCCATTGTTGCTGTGATTAGTGATACGACTCCAGTACACACCCTCATGTTTCAATATTATTTTCCTAGATTTAGTAGGCCTAGGTCTCGCAAATAGACCTTTTACTTCAGCGTTTCCTACCAAACTATCCATGCACCTCCCTTGCACAAGCAGATGATGGAAGGGTATATACAGAAAATCACACGAGCTTCACAATTCATGTCCAGCCTGGAGCGTCTCTGTGGTCACGTGTTGCATTTCACAGCTCGGCCGCAGAAAGGGCAAGTCATATTTCCCAGAAGAAGAAGAACACGGGAATATAATGCTGTATGCGCTTTCAGCTTATTGGGTGCGAAAATTTCGGATACATTTCACTATCAGTAACACACATGTATAAATATTGCACAAAGTAGAGGACTCTTACCTGAAGTGTAAATAATTTAGATGATTGATTACACGTATGATTTAGGTAAGTTGTAGGTTGCTTAATGCAGCTAAACCATCTGCTGACGCTGTGGGCAACCTACAAAAGCGTGATGGTGGGTTTGTATAGAAGGAATACGCCTACAAGCTGGAGAAAATTATTTCAGCTCTCAGCACCTCTCATGTTGACCTGTAATCTTCTAATACATTTTGTAACAAGAGCATGATACAATTTACAAATTTAAACCGCGTTTACTATTAAATATTTCTTTCGTAATGTATATAGCTTAGAGCAAAAATTTCATTTTACGAAAAATAGAAACTATAATGTCACACTAGAAGAGGGAAATAAAATAAGTAAGTAAAAACTATATTAAATAAATCTATATTAATATAACTGAAGAACTAATTTTCTTAAATTCTGTTATCCAGAAAACCGAAACGGTTTTGAATATTGAATTTATAATATATTTTTTTAAGACCCGTGATATTAATAACTAGTTTAAAATTCTTTTGATGCCAAGAAATATTCAAATATTACATCTAGTGAGAGAATGTTGAGATATATTTTGGATAATACGTAATTATTTTCAATAAAATTTCATAAAATTAATATCTCACGAATTACCAACATACTCCTTCCATAATCACTTTAACTATACTGATAATTCTTAGTATTACACGTAAATATTTATAAAGCTTCAGGTTGCACAATTGTGACGCTGGTAATTTTCAGAACTGTAAGGAGTTAATTACCTTATAGTTGCTGCTCATATTTGCTTCTGCTCCGGCACAGTGTCTATTGCAAAATATAGTTGCCAATAATAATGCACTGAGAGGAACGTACGTCACCGCATTGGTGACAACGAGAAATGAAACAACACTGTCCACACATGCACACACGCGGCCACCACTACCGCTCTGTCCGCTGTCTGGATCACTGCTTCTTCTTCCACTCTCCTATCGGGCGTAAACAGCTTCCAGTCTCGCAGGAACTTATGTTATCCTTGAAGGCACTCGCCAGTCCGTGCACTGTAAAGCCTTTGTATATTAAAATGCCTATATATATACCTGACTTCTCTTTATCATTAGCCTTGTAATTGTGTCTTTGCAATGCCAATGCCCATTTATATGTAATTTAACTATATAATTGTTTATGATGCTTGGGGGGGGGGTAAATAAGGGGGTAATGTTGTTATTATTATACACCTTCACTCTAAGCTGTAAGGAAAATTAGCAAGCAATTTTTTATGCTACATGTCTCGCCCAAAATCAATTTTTTTTTCTGTTGGAATATAGCTTGACTGTCGAATACAAAACTGTACCAGAGAGATACGTAAACAAGTTACGACGTAATCTGTTGAAATTTATGTGATCACATGATATATAATTAAAATAAATTTAAGATGCATTAAACATAAGGAAATTCCTTTACATAGAACATGTGTTTAGCTGCAATATTAACCTTAATTCCTTCAAATACTTGATATTATTCATGTCAGTGTACGCCAGTTTCACATTAGTATTAATTCCAGTCATTGAAATTCACTTTTATAATTACAAAAGCGTTAAATATTTGTCAAATGCAGTGAAGCAGAAAAACCTAGTGTTTTTACTGTGTCAGATTATTAACAGAGTGCCGTGGTAAGCTTATGTAAGTGGTCGATAGGCAAGTAACTGCGAATTAGGTTGAATGTACAATTGATGCAGAATTATTTGTTACCTATCAGACTTTTGTATGAAGAACTCACAGAATCGCGTACCCACCCACTGACCTTTCTTTTATTTCAGCCTGACATCGCCTCGTTGTCCTGAGAGCGCTGAATGTGGCTTGTGACTGGCTTGACGGAAAGCTGAGCACACATTTATACAGCGCTTAGCAGACTGAACTGGGCTAGGACACTTGTTATAGAACATAACAGGAAAGCCAAGCAAATATTCCTAGTAAACAGATCGAATTGCAGCCTTTGTTTCTTAAAATTAAGGTCAACGTTGTGTGACCTTGAAACTAACATTTCATATATTCCCGTAGCTGATCATGTCAGGGATTTAGGAGAGAGGCCAACTGACATGTATTTTCAGGTTTTGTACGGAAGGACAGAATAAATGCACGCCAAATTGTAATACGTTCAGATGACCTCGATATCGTCTCCGTATAACCCTCAGACTGAAGCCTCGAGCACTATAATCAATATCAGTTATGCGTCATCAATCCAGTAAATGGTTTCAAATGCGTTCGGTTGAAATATTTGTTTATTATAACTGCAGGAAACAGAACGGTATGGAACTTTCAGCTCTACACAAACTGTCCTTTATAATGTCTTCAATGCGATTGGGAAGGACAAACTACTTGTGACTCAGCAAGAATCCGCTGCTCTCCCGTCCACAACCACCCACTTTTTTTTTTAATTAATTAGAGAAACAAGTGGATTTCTCTGAGAACGAAAGAAATTCCGAGCTCACGTCCTCTCTCGCACATCTGGCTTACATTTCGAAGAGGTGACGACGGGATGTAAGGGAGTGGGGAGGTAAACATGTTGCAACCTCATCACGTCTATTCTTCAAATTTAAGAACAAGAGAACTCACTGCTTGGTGTGGCAGCAAAGCTCTATACATACATTAAGGAGGTTCTCACTGGTTGGTGTGGCAGCAAAGCTCTATACAGGATGTTTCACGACTTTAGGGTATAACCGCAGGAGATGATTTCCTAGGTCTGTGTGACAAAAAATTCATATAAACATGTGTACGATTTTGGACGGTTACGGAGTTATGACCGTTTTAAACTCAGAATAGAAGGTAACGATTACTGACAATAAACGGAACAAAATAATAAACCAGCATAATACATGATACATTTAAAGTATGAATGTAAAGTTAACTTCGTGAAATTACCTTTAATTTGAATTGATTGGTGCTTAAAGCTGATTTTCGAAAATGCCAACGTCGGCCGCAACACAGGCTGCCATTCGGTTGTGAACCGCGCGGGTAGCACGTAGCGGCTTCAGCTGACTGTTTCTTATGTGGTCAGCGGCGTCCAGAATGCGACCGAGCAAAGCATCTAGCGTTGCCACCTTCACATTGTAAACCAGTTCTTTCATCCATCCCCACACACAATAATCCAGTGGGCTTAAGTCTGGAGACTTGGCTGGCAATTCTTTGCCTACTCGTACGTGGACTGCGATGTACCATACGAACAATGCCTTCTTCATTGACGCCTTCAATAACACCACTCTCGGCGGCAATACGAACGCCGGGAAGTCTACCGGTATCTCGCAATGCCTGGTAAATTCCAGTAAACACTCTCCGGTTCGGAAACCGTTGCTGATATTCAGCTACGGCAAGAACTGAGTTACCGTCACAAACCCCGTACACAAAACTCATATCTGCATACTCCTCAAATGAAAATGAAGATGGCATCGTGAACGTAACAGACGCACCGAGATGAGAACTGTTCTGAACACCAGTAGCCGCCACACTAGCCGTGGCCGGACATACCAACCCACCACGCCTTAGGTACCTCTCAAGTGTCGAGATAACGAGAACGCTCTGACTGTAGCTGGCTAAAAGTAGCGACCCGCCAGCTGACAGACGCTGTTCACACGAGGGCGTGTGTGGGAATGAAAAAACGGTCATAACTCCGTAATCGTCCAAAATCGGTACATGTTTATATGAACTTTTTTGATCACAAAGACCTAGGAAATCACCACCTACAGTTATGCCCTAAAGTCGTGAAACACTCTGTATATACCCCTATCATTGCTAGGCAACGGCTCGGTAAAGTTATTACTACAGCAAAGAATACACACTCAACAATAGAAGAATTTTTAGATGCCTAGTTTTCTTTGCGGTACGTGTCATCAAAAGAAAGGCCATTAGTTCTTACCAAGTTTTTTGCCTTCCAAATCCTTTCTAATTCGTCATCCATAAACAATCTTACCATTCGAGCTTATATAATTAAAATTCTGACTATGTCGTGAAATAAACAACTACACATATTTCGTTCGTTTCTGTTCTTGCCGACGACAATGTACAGTGAAAGAGTACATCAATAACAGGCTGTTTCAGAACAACTGTTTCTCTTGGCTACCACGTTTTTTATGAGTACAGCTGTGTTTTACATTGTGAAACTGGGACTTTGTTTTCCACATTTCTTAATGTACCTGCCGGGACAGAAAAAATCGTAAAATATGGTCAGCCTGATTTTAAACAAACATTACAGCTAAATTTGAGTTCCTCTTCATTTTGGTTTCCTTCAAGATATTTATTGGAATTATTCTCCGTTCTTTGCTCCTGCTGATAATATTTGATGGCAACAAAAGATATGCTCTTTATGTTGGTGACGATGGTTTATTAAAAACGCATCGACTTTTTGGACATTAGTCATGGTTATAATCTTGTTTGAAATGACGTTTCGGAGACTGAACACCGTCTTCCTTGTCAGACAGAAGCCTTACGCTGCTGGAAGATAGGGACTAACTCTTGAAAATTTCTTTCTCTCACGCATTCCTTTGTTCTTACAATAAATTAATATTTAATTAATTAATAAATCGTATATACTCATATTAACCAGACAATGGATAAAGTCCAAGTAAAATGTCACAGGGTACATGCTTTACACATTGCTGCAGAGATGTGCAGGAATTCAGGAAATCATTCTCTGTCACAGATGTTTAAATTTTATTCCATATATCATTGCGGTATGTACTGAAAGTCATTCTCGTGATGTCGCAAGCCATTAAACGTTGCAGATGGAGGACGCTGTAAATAAGTCAGGTGTGTGAACCAGGCACAGGGTAACTCGGAATTCTCTTGCAGAAAACGTGCCGTTAAATTTTAGGCACCTCTTTATCCATTTGGCCCTTTGTCAATGGTGTTTTAAGAAAGTTCCAACATTGGTATTGTTGGATTTGAGGCTTTCACGGCGGTGACTATGAAGAAAGCAGTCTTCTGGGATTTGGCACCGTGTATATGTGGTGTTAACCGACGTTTCGGAGGAACGTATCGCCTCCATCTTCAGGGTAGAAGAAAAGATATAAGAAATCTGCAAGCGAAGAGACCGTGAGAAACGGTAAAAAGCAGTCTGCTTTTATCCTGCTACCCTGAAGATGGAGGCGATACGTTCCTCCGAAACGTCGGTTAACACCACATATACACGGTGTAAAATCCCAGAGGACTGCTTTCTTCATTGGTATTGTTAACTAATTCAAATGGGCGGAGACCTTATTGGAAAACTAGTAGTTGCTCAGCCGGTAAAATAAATTCCCTACATTTTGTAAAAGATGTAAATTTATTTAGAATATCCAACCCAGTGTTTCTTGTTCTGAACTACAGAAATCGAATCCACGCCATCGTGTTTTATTTTCTTAAGTTATTGTCACGATTTAGGGGTGATTATAGACAGGGTATGGATTGGTGACTGGATTTATTGATCACTTATACGCACCACGCGGGACTACAAGAAATTGCAGTGGTATCGCTAGTATTCAAATTTTACAAACCACTAGCACAAGCTTAGTCTTCTCGGTCTTCGCTAGACGTTTCCTAGCAACGACTTTAATAGTGGGTATTCTTCAGCTTCGCGCGCTCAGGTCCTCTTCTTACAGCCGCCCGTATGGAACTCTTGTCAACTACCAACTCGACTATAGCACCATCCCTTCTCAGCCTCCCTTCAGAGCTTAACTCTCGACTGCCAACCCTCAACTAATTGGATTGCCTCAATTATCTTCTTTGTAACCACTTTGCATGGACAGAATAGAAAACATGGTTTCCAGCAATGGTCATATCGTTGTAGACGAGTGTTTAACGATCCATTGCTCAGAAAAAGGTTGTATAACCTCGTTGTTCATTGTTGCGTGTGTGTAAGTCGCGCGCGTTACCTAGCGACGGTAACTGTTTACAGAGTCACCGCTTAGCAATAGGTCTATACCTAATAATATATTTTAATTTTAGTCCGAACTCCCATCTATTCCCAGGTATCCCAAGTATTTTTTTTCCTTTCATGGAACTTTATAAATAGTTGCGGTTTTTCTTCGTTTGTTTGTTATTAGTGTAGTTTTGTTTGACGTTGTATTACAACTATAGGATTCCTTGAAATTTATAAATATAAATTTTCAAAATTCTCCCAGCAAGTAATATTCGCTGGACATTTATTAATTCGAGGATAAGATTACAATATTTCATTAGACGAAAGATAAAAAAAAATATTTTGACATTCATATAAGGGAAGAAAATTTTTTAACAGTTTTATTAGAGTGCCATTGTACAAACAAGAAGCCCTACAGTAGCGTAGCAGCGTGTTACTGGCTTTCTCTATAATTCCACACAATACGTCTCGGGGAACATGCAGGGCTAATAAAATTGACATCTACACGTAGTTCTGTGTAAATACATTCTTTGTTACCTTACAGTTCGTCCATGTTACCACGATTAGATACACGTTATATCTGACAATAAATCTTGTCCCACTTCCATATTGGATCAATGTACGTATTTAGGACTTGCATGAAGTCACGTTAGAAGGGATTTGCTTTGAATCAATCTACGAGACAGGAATATGGAGGTCTTGATCTCTTAAACTCATTTTTATTCTGAAAGGAGAACAGCCTGATGCCTTTCCAAATGGCGCGAGCCATTAGTTCAGTTCGAGGCTAATACAAAGGTGACAAGTGAGAGGATTACCTGTTAGCAAATCAAAGCCAAATGTTGATTAGAATCTTAAGTACAGTGTCAGAAATTTCATACAGTTCATGGGTCGAAATTTTCCAACATAAACGAAACAGTTTTATGATCAAGGCTGTTGTCTACTGGAATGTGATTCCCGTGTAATCTAATGTCACATTTCAGAAGGCTACA